TAACAGTGAGGGAAATTTATCACAAAAAATAATAATTGTAAAACTCGCAAAGCAAAGCGTCAGTTTATGTTGAGTAAACTAATACATTTTTGTAATTTTGAGTCCTCAATTACTAATAATAGAAATTCGTAGATAGTCCCCGCATTAATCATAAAATTTCCAGGCGGATTTAGCCAGCTAGGTCAAAGTAATGCACTAACAGCCCTCTTAACTTTTTTCCTTGCTCTTTGTACGCCACCAGCATTTGAAATAGTCCGACGTCTTGAACACTCTATTTCAAATTCTCTCTAATTCATTCAGATTCTTTCAGATGCTCTCAGTTTTTCTCACATTTTCGCAAAATCCTTCTGGTTCTCCCAAAATCGTTCATAATCTTTCAGATTCCCTCAGAATTCCACAGATTCACTCATATTTTTTCAGATACTCTAGGTACTTTCAGATTCTCTCAGATTCCTTAAGATTCCCTCAAAGTCCTTCAGGTTCGTTCCGATTAGCTCAGATTTTTCCGCATTAGTTCAAATTCTCACATATTCACAAATATTCTCTCAAATTATGTCAAATTTTATCAGATTCTGTAAGATTCTTTCAGGTTAGTTCAGATTCATTCAAATTCCTTCAGATTCGTTAAGATTCTTTCTGACTCCTACAGATTCTTTCAAGTTCCCTCAGACTCTTGCATATTCCTTCAGATTCTCTCAGATACTCCTATAATCTCTCAGATTTTCAGAGATTCAAATTCAGATTCTTTCGGGTTATTTCATATTCTCTCATGTTCTTTACAATCCTTTCAGATTTCTTCAAATTCCCTCAAATTCTTTTTAGTTCTATCATATTCTCCAAGATTCTCTCAGATTTTGTCAGATTCTCTTAATATCCTTCAGATTCTCCCAGATTCTTTCAAATTTTCTCAGAATCTGTCACATTTTCTCAGATTGACTCAAAATCTCGGATTCCTTCAGATTTTCTCAGATTATTTCAGAATCTTTCAACTTATTTCAAATCCCCCAATTTTTGTTAGATCCTTTCAGAATCCCTTATATTTTCCCAGATTCTATCACATTCTATCAGAATCTGTAAGATTCTTTCAGATGTGTTCAGATTCTACCCGATTTCTTCAGATTCTTTCAAGTTCTCTCAGATTCTTACAGATTCCTTCAGATTCTCTCAAATACTCTTATAATCCCTCAGGTTCTATGAAATTCACTGAGATTTTCTGAAATACTCTCATATTCTCTCAGATTCTATCACATTTTCTGAGATTCTCTCAGATTCCTTCAGATTCTCAGATTCTTTCAGGTTATCCCAAATTCTCTCACAATCTCTCAAATTGTTTCATACTGTCTCAGATTCCCTCAGATTACTTCGAGTATTTCAAATTCTTTCCAATTCTTTCAAATTTTTTCAAATTCTCAAAAATTTCCTTAAATTCCGTCACATTCTAACAGATTCTTGCTGATTCCTTCAGATTCTTAGAAGTTCTCTCAAATTCTTACAGATTCCTTCAGATTCTCTCGCATTTTAAGAAAATCTCTGATATTCTAGAAAATACTCACGATTTCTCTCATACCCTCTCAGATTCTTTCAGATTTTCTGAAATATTTTCCGATTTCTGCCGATTCTATCAGATTTTCTCGAATTTTCCTAAATTTTCTCAAATTGCTTCAAATTCCCTCAGATTCTCTCAGAGTATTTCAGATTCTCTTAAATACCTTCACATTCTTGCAAATTTTCTCAGATTGTCTCAGAATGTCCCAGATTCCTTCGGATTTTCTCAGATTATTTCAGAATCTTTCGATGAAGTTCAAATTCTCCAGATTTTGTGAGATCCTTTCAGAATCTCTCATATTTTCCCAGAAGCTCTCAGATTCTTTAAGATTTCTATCTATTCCTTCAGATTCTGTCAAATCCTTTCATATTTCTGAAGATTCCTCGTGGTTGTTGTAGAATCATTCGGAAACTTTCAGATTCTCTCAGAATTCCTCAGATTCTCTCAAATTCTCTCATTCCTTTAGATTCCTTCAAATTCTTTCAGATTTTTCAGTTTAGTTCATATTCTTTCGAGTTAGTTCAGATTCTCTCATATTCTCAAAGATTCTCTAAAATTTTATCACATTCTATCAGATTCTGTAAGATATTTTCAGATTCGTTCAGATTCCTCTCGATTTCTTCAGATTCTTTCAACTTCTTTCAGATTCTTACAGATTTCTTCAGAATCGCTCAAATTTTATGAAATTCTCTGAGATTCTCCGAAATACTCTCCGATACTATCAAATTTAGTCGGATTCTCTCAAATTCTTTTAAATTCTCTCAGACACCTTCAAATTCTTTCAGGTTACTTGATATTTTCTCAGATTCCCTCATATTCTTTACGATCCTTTCAGATTCCTTCTGATTCTATTAAATTCCTTCAGAATCTCTCAGTCGCCCGTGTGTTTTTTAAACAACGTAAAAGATTCTTATGGGCCTCTAAGTTGTTTTTTAAGGATTTGAAAGAATCTTAAAAGTGTAAAGTGTGGTTTTCAAAGAACGTAGAAGAATCTTTGGGGCCCTGAGTGCTCTTTTTAATTTGAAAACAATCTTGAGTGTTCTGATTTTTTTTTTAAGAGTTTGAAAGAATTTTAGGGATTCCTGATTCTTTTTTTGTTAATGTCAAAGAATCTTAAGGACTCCTTGCGTCTTTTTTAAAGAATTTGGAGCAATCTTGATGGTTCTTTGTGTTATATTTTTGAAAAAGTTTGAGAAGAACTAGAGAGCTTCGAAGGTCTTTTATTTAAAGAACGTAGAAGAATTTTGGCGAACACGAATGTTTCTTTAATTTGATGTTGGAAAATCTTAGGAGCTCCTGGTACTTGTTTTTAAAGAGTTTGAAAGAATGTTAAGGGTCTCTAGCGTCTTTTTTAAGAATTCGAAAAAATCTTATGGTTCCGAAGTGTCGGTTTTAAAAAACGAAGAAGAATCTTTGTGGCTTTTTTGATGAGTTTGAAAGAATCTTAAGGATTCCTATTGTGTTTTTTGGTAAAATGTCAATGATCTGGGGAGCACCGACTTGAAAAAAACCGTGGTGTCCCTAGTGTTTTTTCTTAAGAAAGTGAAACAATCTGGACCTCTAAAAGTAAAATAAATAAAGAATTGTAAGTGAACACTTCTATGGGTAATTAATCAAAACAGAGAATGGTAAAAAAATTCAGACGAATGTAGCAACTGAGTTAATAAAACAAGCGACGGACACCTGGAAATGGAGAACCTACTATTTCATATTCTAGTATCCGCTCGAGAAATAAAAATTTTAAATTTAAATTTAACAGCGAGGGAAAAGTTATCATAAAAAATAATAATTGGTTATGTTGAGTAAACTAATACATTTTTGTAATTTTTGGTCCTCAATTACTAATAATAGAAATTCGTAGATAGTCCCCGCAATAATCATAAAATTTCCAGGCGGATTTAGCCAGCTGGGTCAAAGTAATGCACTAACAGCCCTCTTAACTTTTTTCCCTGCTCTTTGTACGCCACCGGCATTTGAAATAGTCCGACGTCTTGAACACTCCCTAACTTCCAGTAACAATATCCAGCTTGAAATACACCCTCACACTTATTAACCATATGTAAACTACAACTTTAAACACAGTTTTGAAATCTATTTAACATAAATTAACTCCTTCGGCATTTGTTTGTTGCATATTCCCCCCGGCGGCCGACGCCTAACAACTCTTATTATGGACTTAGCAAAGTAAATTACTCTTAAAGCCGCTGAGGTTGAGATAGTGACTTTCTCCCTTAAACCATGTTAAAGGATTTGCAGTTAGTAATGTAGAACTTACACTTAGGGCTCCTGTTGGTGAAAATCCGGTCGAATCGGCTCAGACCCGTTTAGATACGTGTTGCCAGCGCCGGCTCTAATAGTATAAGGACTTTTCTAGAGTACAGGAAATTGAATACGCTTCTACTAAAAGCCTCCAACATTCGAGGGTATATTTATAAATAACGTTAGCCGAGGTTTAGATTAAACCTCGGTGTCATTAGCAGGCTATTATTCACCCTGCGTGGATGAATCAAAATGGACAGTTTTCATTTAGCGCTTTTACGGAGACGGTTAATTACGAAAACGTCGGGTCATTCGTCACGCGGTAGACGTCCAACAGTTACAGAAACCTCGCCCGTGATTGGTCTCTTCACCGCGTTTTTTCTATAATTTTAGAGCGGTTATATAGCGGGGCGTCTAGTTCACTCTATTATAATGAAAAATTTTTCTGAACAAACCGCACGGTCGGATGGAGATCGCGGTTTCAATATTTAAATCATGAAATGACTTTTTTAAAAACCTTTTACCAACTCCAACATTATTAACGAGTTCGAAGCAGGTACGAATTTCCAATCGATTCTCGGGGCGCTGCATACAACATTTAAGTCCCACTTTGAAAATCTGCGGCTAACTTCTTTCTTTATTGACTTAAGAAACAAAGTTATATGAGAACCGAGCTACAAAAAGTCCTACTTTGCACCCGAGGGGTCGGTTTAAGCGTTTCGTGGAAAGACTTATGACTGCGTGTATTGCCGAGAACAAGTAGTAGTTTCCGGTAGACCGCACTTTCGTTCAATCGATTCCATACGTAATCCTTGGCAACAAATTTCATAAGAACTTCGGCGGTAAACGAAATTAAACTTCTCATTTGCAGCAGGGTTGCCGAAAACTGCTTTCGGGGAATTAGACGCCGCCTCCCGAAAAGGAATATTTATGGGGAATAATCGATCTGTCAATATTGATGTTTTATACGTGCACGGGATTCTGGTGAGTGTTTTGCACGCAATATCTCACTTTCTGGGGACTGTTGTGCGATGGGAGTTGAAAAGTTAAACTGAAGCTTTTAAGTAAACTTCTAGATTGTTTTACGGTGTACTGGATGAAAGCGAGTTTCGTTGGACTGTGATAATTTTCGCAGTTTTTGTCATTGTGTTAGATAGAGTTTTAAGCAGAATGTGAAGAAAATTAAGACACTCACTCGAGGTTTGTTTTCCGCACATCGAAATCCAAAAAGCTGATTTCGATGATTTGGCCGACGTTTGCGATGAAGGTGTAAAGTAAACAGTCTATGTTGGCGTGGTAAGGCTGGGGGAAGTCCGGACTTTTGAAGATGCCTTCTTCTTTCCCAAACATGGCGGAAAATACGACACATTCACACCCTGAAAATTGTTGTATAAACAAATAAGGTTGCTATTTTTTTGTTGCACAAAATTACCTGGATGAACTGCTTGGCAAACTGTAGTAAACATTAACTGCAACATCAGCACCAAAATGGGCACCTGCAACAATAAATAGGACTTACTTAGCAGAATTTTGAGTGACGTCATCGAAGTTTCGGTGGGGATAAACAGTCATGTTTTAGTTAAAGCGCCAGGCTTAGTATATACTGTGTAAAAAAATTGTCAACTGACGACCTAAAATTACATCATCTGTAATATTTATATACTAATAAAAATGAAAAGCGCATTGAATTAAAAAAATATATCTAAAATTAATTAGATATAAATCAGCAGACATTATAATCACGCAATACGATTCTTTCAAATTCCCGGAGATTTTCTCAGACTCTTCAACATTCTCTCACATGCCTTCAGATGCTTTCGGATCCCCTCAGATTTTCTCGAATCTTTAATCAGATTCTCTTAAATTGTCCCAGATTATCTCAGAATCTCTCTGATTCTCGGATTCTCTCACACTCTCTCAAAATATGTCAGATTATTTCATATCTTTCAAATATTTTCAGATTCTTCCAATTTTTTTCAGATTCTTTCATAATCCTTCATATTCGTTCAGATTTTCTTAGACGCATTCAGATTTCTTCAGTTTTTTCATAGTTCTTCAGATGTCTTCAGATTCTTCCAAATTATACCATATTCTTTCAGATTCCCACAGATTCTTACAGCTGCACACAGATTCTCTCATTTTCCTTCAGATTCTTTTAGATTCCTTCAGATTTTTTCAGATTTTTTCAAATTCTCTCAGATACCTTCAAATCCTCTTAAAATCTCTCAATTTTTTCAGATTGTCTCAGAATCTCTCAGATTTCTACCGATTCTCTCAGATTTTCTCAGACCATTTCCGAATCTATCAATTTATTTCAAATTCTCTCAAATTCCTTCAGATTCCTTCAGATGCTCTCAGATTTTCTCACATTTTCGCAAATTCCTTCCGGTTCTCCCAAAATCGTTCAGAATCTTTCAGATTCCCTCAGAATTCCACAGATTCTTTCATATTTTTTCAGATACTCTTGGAACTTTCAGATTCTCTCAGATTCCTTAACACTCTTTCAAATTTCTTCAGGTTCGTTCAGATGAGCTCAGATTCTTCCGCATTAGTACAATTTTTTTCATATTCACAAATATTCTCTCAAATTATGTCACATTCTATCAAATTCTATAAGATTATTTCAGATTCGTTCAGATTCATTCAAATTCGTTCAGATTCGTTAAGATTCTTTCGGATTCCCACAGATTTTGTCAAGTTCCCTCAGACTCTTACATATTCCTTCAGATTCTTTCAGATATTCCTATAATCTCTCAGATTTTCAGAGATTCAAATTCAGATTCTTTCAGATTCCTTTAAATTCTTTCAGATACGTTCAGATTCTTTCGGGTTATTTCATCTTCTCTCAGATTCCCTCATATTCTTTACAGTCCTTTCAGATTCCTCCAAATGCTCTCAAATTGTTTTTGATTCTGTCAGATTCTCCAAGATTCTCTCAGATTTTTTCAGATTCTCTTTAATTCCTTCAGATTCTCCCAGATTCTTTCAAATTCTCTCAGAATCTGTCAAATTTTCTCAGATTGACAAAACATTTCTCGGATTCCTTCAGATTCTATCAGATTCTTTCAGGTTATCCCAAATTCTCCAACAATCTCTCAAATTGTTTCATACTGTCTCAGATTCTCTCAAATTCCTTCAGATTCTCTCAGATTTTCTTAAATTTCCTCAAATTTTCTCAGATTATCTCAAATTATTTCAGAGTCTTTCCAATTTTTTCAAATTCTCAAAGATTCCCTTAAATACCGTCACATTCTAGCAGATTCTTTCAAGTTCTCTTAAATTCTTACAGATTCCTTCAGATTTCTGCCTATTCTATCAAATTCTCTCGAATTCTCTGAAATTTTCTCAAATTGCTTCAGATTCCTTCAAATTCCTTCAGATTGTCCCAAACTCCAGCAGATTCTTTCAGATTTTTTTAAATTCTCAGATACCTTCAAATTCTTTCGGGTTACTTTATATATGTTCTCAGATTTCCTCATACTTTTTACGATTTTTTTTCAGATTCCTTCAGATTCTTTAAAATTCTCTTTGACTCTGTCAGATTCTCTAAGAAACTCTCAGATTATTTCAGATTCTCCTAAAAATCCTTCAAATTCACTGAAATTCCTTCAGATTCTCTGAAATTCCTTCCGATTTTTTCCGATTTTCTCAGATTTTTCCCTGTTTTCTCAGATTTTCTCTGGTTCTTTCAGATTCCTTAAGATTCCTTCCGATTCTCTCAGAATTCCTCAGATTTTCTAAATTCTATCACTTTCTTTCAAATTCTCTAGGTTCTCTCAGATTTTCTCAGATTTTTTGAAATTATTTCAGATTCTTTTATGATCTTCCAGGTTTCTTCAGACTCGTTCAGATTCTCTCAGAGTATTTCAGATTCTCTTAAATGCCTTCAGATTCTCTCAGAATCTTTCAATGTATTTCAAATTCACTAGATTGTGTGAGATCCTTTCAGAATCTCTCATATTTTCCTAGATTCTCTCAGATTCTTTAAGATTTCTATATCTTAATTCACATTCTGTCAAATTCTTTCAGATTCCTGAAGATTCTCTCAATTCTTTCATATTTCCGCAAATTCCTCGTAGTTCTTGCAGAATCATTAGGAAACTTTTAGATTCTCTCAGAATTCGTCAGATTCTCTCAAATTCTCTCATCTTGTTTCAGATACTCTAGGTTGTCTCAGATTCTCTCAGATTCCTTAAGATACCTTCAAATCCCTTCAGATTTTTTTCAGTTTAGTTCATATTCTTTCGAATTAGTTCAGATTCTCTCATATTCTCAAAGATTCCTTCAAATTCTATCACATTCTATCAGAGTCTGTAAGATACATTCAGATTCGTTCAAATTCCTCTCGATTCCTTCAGATTCATTCAACTTCTCTCAGATTCTTACAGATTTCTTCAGACTCTCTCAGAAATTCCTATTATCTCTCAGATTCTATGAAATTCTCTGAGATTCTCTGAAATATCCTCAGATTCTCTTAGATTTCCTCAGACTTCCAGATTCTATCAAAGTCCCTCGGATACTAGCAGATTTACTCGGATTCTCTGAGATTCTCTTAAATTTCTTCAAATTCCTTCAAATTCCTTCACATTCTCTCAAATTCTTTTAAATTCTCTCAGATACCTTCAAATTCTTTCGGGTTACTTGATATTTTCTCAGATTCCATCATATTCTTGACGATCCTTTCAGATTCCTTCCAATTCTCTTAAATTCTTTCAGATTTTCTCCTGTTCTTTCCAATTCTTTCAGAATCTCCCAAATTTTCTCAGATTGTCTCAGAATCTCTCAGATTCTCTCAGATTTTCTCATATTTTGCAAATTCCTTCTGATTCTTCCAGAATTATTCAGAATTTTTCAGATTCTCTAAGAATTCCCCAGATTCTCCCAAATTCTCTCACATTTTTTCAGATTATCTCGGTTCTTTCAGATTCTTTCATATTATTTTAGTTTAGTTTCGATTGTATCGGATTAGTTAATATTCTTTCACATTCTGAAAAATTCTGTGAAATTCTGTCACAAATTCTATCAGATTCTGTAAGATTCTTTCAGATTCGTTCAGATTCTTTCAAGTTCTATAAGATTCTCTTAGATACTCCTAGAATCTGTCAGATTCTATGAAATTCTCTTAGATTTTCCGAAATACTTTCAGATGCTCTCAAATTCTATCAGATTCGATTAGATTCTATCGGATTCTCTGAGATTATCTCAAATTTCTTCAGGTTCCTTCAACTTCCTTCAGATTCCTTCAGATTCTCTTAGATTTACTCAGATTCTCTCAAATTCCTTCAGATTCTTACGGATTAGTTCAGATTCTTTCGGATTAGTTTAGAATTTCTCATATTCTACAAGATTCTCTCAAATTTTATTACAATCTATCAGATTCGTTCAGATTACTCTCGATTCCTTCAGATTCTTTCAACTTCGTTCAGATTCTTACAGATTTCTTCAGACTCTCTCAGAAACTCCTATAATCTCTCAGATTCTATGAAATTCTCTGAGATTGTCCGAAATATCCTCAGATTCTCTTAGATTCCCTCAGATTTCCAGATTCTATCAAAGTCCCTCAGATACTATCAGATTTACTCGGATTCTCTGAAATTCTCTTAAATTTCGTCAGATTCCTTCAAATTCCTTCACATTCTCTCAAATTCTTTTAAATTATCTCAGATACCTTCAAATTCTTTCGGGTTACTTGATATTTTCTCAGATTCCCTCATGTTATCTTTACGATCCTTTCAGATTCCTTCCGATTCTGTTAAATTCCTTCAGATTCTCCCAGATTAGTTCCAATTCTCTCCGAATCTCTCAGATTCCTTCAGACCAGACTTTCCACTTATTTTAAGTTTTCCACATTTTGTCAGACCGTTTCAGAATCTCTCATATTTTCCAAGATTCTCTCAGATTCTTTAAGATTTATTCATATTCCTTCAGATTCTTTAAGATTCTCTCAGATTTTCTCATATTTTTGCAAATTCCTTCTGGTCCTTCCAGAATTATTCAGAATCTTTCAGATTCTCTCAGAATTCCCCAGATTCTTTCAAATTCTCTCACATTTTTTCAGATTACCTCGGTTCTTTCAGATTCTTTTAGTTTAGTTCCGATTCTTTCGAATTAGTTAAGATTCTTTCATATTCTCAAAAATTCTCTCAAATTTTGTCACATTCTTTTAGATTCGTTCAGATTCTTTCAAGTTCTATCAGATTCTCTTAGATACTCCTATAATCTGTCAGATTCTATTAAATTCTCTGAGATTTTTCGAAATACTCTCAGATGCTCTCAAATTCTCTCAGATTTTATGAGATTCCCTCAGATTCTCTCAGATTCGATTAGATTCTATCGGATTGTCTGAGATTATCTCAAATTTCTTCAGATTCCTTCAGATTCTCCCAATTTTTTTTTTCATACTTTTTCAGAGTCTTGCAAATTTCTTCAGATTCTTACGAATTAGTTCAGATTCTTTCGGACCAGTTTAGAATTTCTCATATTCTCAAAGATTCTCTCAAATTCCATCACATTCTATCAGATTGGTTCAGATTCTTTTCGATTCTTCAGTTTCTTTCATATTCTTTCAAGTTTTCTCAAATTTCAGATTCTTTCAGATACTCTCATAATTTCTCAGATTCTATGAGAATCTCTGAGGTTCTCTAAAATACTCTCGGATTCTCTCATTTTCTCCCAAGTTCTTTCAGATTCTCTGAGATTTTCTCAAATTGCTTTAGATTCCCTCTAATCTTGTCAGATTGCCTCAGATTTTCTCCGATTTTCCCAAATTTTCTCAGATTATTTCAGAGTCTTTCAAAATATTTTAAATGTTCCTTCAAATTCTTTCAAAGTCTTTTAAACTCCTCCAGATTTTGTCAGATTCTCTCAGAATCTCTCAGATTTTCTCAAATTCTCTAATATTCTCTCGGATTCTTTCAGATTCGCTTATATTAATTCAGATTCTCTAAAATTCCATCAAATTCTTTCCGATTCTCTCAGATTTTCCCCTGTTTTCTCAGATTCCCTCTAATTCTTTCATGTTCCTTTTAGATTCTTTCAGATTCTCTCAAATTATATCACATTCTTTCAAATTCTCTCAGATTTTTTCAGATTTTCTCAGATTCCTTGAATATCCTTCAGATTCATTTATGTTCCTTCAGGTTTCTTCGGACTCGTTCATCTTCTCTGAGATTATTTCATATTCTTAAGGAGTCTACAACATTATTTCAGAATCTTGTCTTTTAAATTACTTCAAAAACAAAACTCCATAATTCCTTTAATTTGTGTTATAACAAAACGACCAAAAGTCGCCAAAGTTCCCGTAATTTCTCTCAAAAATAAATCAGTAGGAAGGTTCTTTTCAAATAAAAAAAAATCACAAAAAAAGAAAGTCAACAATTTTTTTTTTACTCTAATAATGTTCACTACGTCATTCATTTATTATAGCAAAAAAAAACACTCTCATTATTATAATAAATGTAGTGGCAATTTTTAAGAAAAACTAAACGTTTTTCAAGATTTCAACAACAGAAGCATTTTATTTGATAAAATTCAAACACGATTTACCCCGAAAAATTTTGAGATGACGTCATCACACAGGCACCTAATATATTGCTGTCAAAAAACAAAAAAGGAATCATTTCGAATTACAGCAGCAACCGTAAAACGTCTAATTTAATCCCCACGTAGCTATAAATTTTAAGCCACCCTTCACCCTAGGCTCTAATAATACACTGGCCTGTATTTACAATAGTTGAGAGGAATTTTATTGTGTACATTAAAAGTAAAAATATGTCGACCACTGTGTACGCTCGACCTGTTTCACTGAAAAACACACACAATTCCGTGTGCTTACATTTATTTGACCAGTTTTATTTAAACATATTTGACTTTAGAAATATTGCCAGGTTTCCACCGTTCGGGGCAGATAAAAGCTCACAATGGCTCTTTGTGCATGAGTTTAGCTCACAGTCGGCGTACACAAATATGAACAAAATAAGTACACTGCAAAAATCATTTATTCATGTCGTATCTAAAACGTCACGATGGAGCGAGTGCTTACCTAGCAACAAAAAAACAAAGATAATTTCAACAACTTTATTACATTTATTGCATAAAATCAAACTCTCACTACACGCCATTACATTCCAACCGTAAAACCAACAGTAAATCCATTTTTAAACAGTCCGCCTCTGTTCAGCCTTCAAATAAATAAATAACAAAATCCCTTTCACTCTAACACAGATCACAGCTTATAAAGTCCTATCTCCTGTGCTGGAGCCGGCTGATGATTTTAAATATTTCCGATCGGGGAATCTTCTCGGCCTCGCGATGATGCACTGGAAATTCCTTGTTAGAAAACCAGGATTCTTTAGCCAGAGCTGCCGCGATTCCCGGATTCTTGTAAAAGGGGTTGAGCAATTCTTGAGGCAATTGCGATTCGGCGGCGGCGTTTTCAACAGCAGCTGGATGTGCTAATTGTTCCACAGGCTGGGATGTAGGAATTATTGCAGGATTCACGCCAGGATTGAGCAGCGGAGCGGCGAAAGTTGGCGTTTGGATTATGTTGTACTGGGACACGATGGGCAAGGCTGTGAGCGGGGCGACCAGCGCGGTCGCGAAGAGGAGTGCCGCGAACATGGTAACTAGAAAAATGAATATTTTTTATGGGGACGTTTCGTACTAGTTATTGCTTCCTCAAGGCACTGAGGACACTTAAAATTTAATGGGGTAATATAACGGTCACCATTAAGTCCCTAGAGGGATATTATGATGATCAAATCATAATTAGGGGAAGCCTTGCAACGTAATTAAATCTGCGAGGAAAGTAAAAATGTATTACGTTTCAAAACCTAACCTAACTTTTTACTTTCTTGGCTAAGAAAGATATCCTTGAAACGGATGAAAGTTCAAGGAAGTAATCAAATAAAGTCTTTAAAAAAATTTATAATAAACAAAAAATTTTACATAACTTTTAACCTTAGCATTGGAGTGAAGAATGTTGGCGACGAGGAACTACAAATTGAACTTGAACGGATGCGTAGCCTTGTGAAAGGATAAACAAGGTAAACGGGTTCTGACTCCTTTTCCAAAGTTACGTTGCATGTTCAAATAAGTTCAGGGTTTATCTAATTCAGTTTAATGATATTTGGTAACAAAATTTTATTGTTTAATTTGTTGAAAAGTTGCGGCTTTTGGTGCGTGAATTCAACAAAGACAACGGGAAATTAACACCTTATTAAATAAGTAATCAAGCAAGCGCCTGCGAGCAAATCGTGCTCTTTTACACCTTCTACATGCAACTTTTTTTCTCAGTCAAAGTCAAGAGCAGAAATATTTTTGTTCCAAAAATTTCACAAATTGAACAAAAATTGCACATCTACTCTCCGTCAAAAAAATAAAATGAAATTATAAATCGGGAATGACTATGACTTACTCTTGCTTGCACAAACTGAACACACACTGATAATTCACTCACTGTTACCGGTCTGGCCCGCACGTTTGGTTTTATAGGAAAACGCAAAGACGAGAAGAAAGCCTTGTTCGTTACGACAAAGCGGTCTTCAGCCTTGCCTTGGTCCAAACTAAGTCAAGGGTTTTTCGATTCTCATAACTCGGTACGGTCGTTTCCTGTTCCAGAAATGTGCATGTCCGACTTTCATTGATCCTAATGTTCCCAGTACTGTGGAAAAAACCTTGTTCTCCATGCGCTTCGTGCATAATTTTTGCTACGGCAGCCAGCTGGTATCGATGAAAACTTGCGGCTGCTCTAATTAAGTCAACCAGCGACTAATTAATCGGCGGAAGCGTCTTCGGATCCGGCGCCGTTTTTGCGTCGATGTCGTCAATTAATACCGAGTTTTCCGCTTTTTACCTCGCTGGAATGTCTGTTGGGTAATAGTTTTGTGGTTTGCAAGCTGAAACGTACGAATTTTAGCTTCATTAATTGACCTTAAAAGTGTGTACTTTTAATGGGGCGATCCGGTTTCACTTTTTTATTTATCATTTGTCCCACGCAATCTAACCGCTAATACATAATATATAGGTTACTTCGCCTTGACAAGTACTTGTTTGGGTTTTTTTTATCAAGAACATTTTTATCGAGCAAGTAAAAAAGTCGGTGGGAACCACCGATCCGAATTCGCTTTAAGATGAATCACTTAAATCCGTTTTAAGTGGCTTTTCTGTATAAAAAAAGATCAAACTTTTGCCTTTGGATAAAGTTACGTCATAATTAATTCGATGGAATTTTTGGCAACTTGGTTAACTTCGTTGCTTGACTTTAATGCGTTGATATTGAAAAATGAGCTAAGTTTCTGATTGTTATCCAAATAATATGTGGTGATCTAGAAAAAGAGCGGTTTTTAAGTGAAAATAGATATGTAATTATGCGGTATCGATTATCTCGAAAATTTGGCCAGACTCCAAGTTGTCGAAGTATTAGGTTCATAATATGTTAACATGCTGCCAGGTTCAAAAAGAGGACATGTCGTGTTTTTTAATTAAACGTTATTTTTCTTACGTATTTCGTACTATCAAGTAAATATTTAATTATTATTTATGGTGTTCGGCGAATTTTAAATATTTACATATATTAATTCTTGGTCTAACTATGGTCATAAATCTCTCACTACACATTCCAAGTTTATAAAAAATTGCCATTAGTAATTCAGCAGATCTAATAATTTTGTTCATTTTATGGGAGTTGTATTTTTATTGCTTCCGTTGCATAGATACTTTCATGTTTTTAGACGTTTTATGACCCCTAGAGTACAAAAATAGATCTCCCTTTTCTGTCTGTCGTCTTTCTGTCTGTCGTCTGTGTCACTTCTACGAGACAAACAATCTCCTTATCAACAAGTTCTGCGTAGTAAATACAATTTGAATTTTATAAAATATCATGTTCATATATTTGTGGTTTATGAGGCCGCCTTGAGTTTTTACCCTAGACATCCAGATTTTCCCAAAAACAGTTTCTCGTGCCACTTGACACAATCTGGATTAACCTGACTCGAACATGATTTAACTTAACCCGAATTTTCTTGCGTGGTAATTAACTTTAATTTTTCCTGTGATAAACTCAAACTACCGACATAACTTAAAGACAGAATGCTTCTTTTTGATGTCCTGACTTGTCTTGACCTGACCTGACCTGATCTTACCTCCCAAATTCTCCCAGATTCTAAAAAATTCAGAATCTTCCCGATTCTCTCAGATTATTTCAGATTCTTTCAGATTTTTTCAAGTTCTCTAAAATTCTTACAGATTCCTTCAGGTTCTCTGCGCTACTCTTACAATCTCTCGATTTCATGATATTTTCTGAGGTTCTCCAAAATACTTTCTGATTTTTTCGTATTCTCTCAGATTCCCTGGGTCTCTTTAAGAATTGCTTCTGATTCCTTCAAATTCCTTCAGATTTTCTCAGATTCTCTCAAATTTTCTCAGATTATTTCAGTCTTGCAAATCCTTTCAAATTTTCTAAGAATAGTTCAAATTCTTGCAGGTTCTTTCAGATTTGTTGAGATTTTCTCAGATTAGTTTAGATTCTCTCATATTCTCAAAAATTCTCCAAAATTCTGCCACATTCCGTACGATTCTATAAGATTTTTTTAAGTTCGTTCAGATTCTTTCCGATTCCTTCAGATTCTATCAAGTTCTCTCAAGTTGTTACAAATTCCTTCAGATTCTCTCAGATACACTTATAATCTCTCAGATTCTATGAGATTCCCTGAGATTCTCCAAAATATTTTCAGATTCTCTCATATTCTTTCAGATTTCTTCAGATTTTCTGAAATTTTCTGAGATTCTCCCAGATTTCCTCAAATTCCCTCAGATTCCCTCAGATTTTATCATATTTTCTCAGATTATATCAGATTGTCTCAGATTCACTGAGATTCTCTCAAATTCTTTTAGATTCTTTCAGGTTATACCAAATTCTCCCAGAATCTATAAAATTGTCTCAGGTTGTCTCAGATTGATTCAAATTCTCTCAGATTCTTTCATATTCCTTCATATTTTTCCGATTTTTTCAAGTTCTCGCAAATTATTTCAGTCTTACAGATTACTTCACATTCCTTCTAAATCTTTCAGAATTTTTTAGATTATTTCAGATTCCCTCAGTACCCTCGTATCTCTGAGATTTTCTCAATTCCTTCAGAGTCGCTCAGATCATTTCAGGTTATACCAAATTCTCTCAGAATCTCTCAAATTTTCTCATATTATCTCGGATTCCTTCATATTCTCCCAGATTTTCTCAAATTTTCTCAAATTGTCTTAGTTTACTTCAAATTCCTACAGATCCTTTCTGATCCTTTCCGATTCTTTCAGCTTTTTTGAAGTTTTGTCAAATTCTTACAGATTCTTTCAGATTCTCTCGGCTATCTTTACAATCTCTCGATTCTCTGAGATTCTCCAAAATACTCTCAGATCCTCTCATATTCTCTCAAATTCTTTCAGTTACTCTCAAATTACTTCAGTGTTACAGATTCCTTCATATACTTTCTAAATTTTTCATAATTTTTTAGATTCCGTCAGTTCTCCCGAATTCTCTGAGATTCTCTCAAATTCCTTCAGAATTGCTCAGATCCCTCCAGGTTGTACCATATACTCTCACAATTTCTCAAACTGTCTCAGATTATCTCAGTTTGTCTCAGATTTTCTCAGATTCCCTCAACTTTTCTCAGATTCCCTCAACTTTTCTCAGATTCCCTCAACTTTTCTCAGATTATTTCAGTCTTTCAAATCCTTTCAAATTCTCAGATTACTTCAAATTCATTCAGGTTCTGTCAGATTAGTTTAGATTCTCTCAAATTCTGTCTCATTCTATCAGATTCTGTCAGATTATTTCAGGTACGTTCAGATTCTTTCCGATTTCTTCAGGTTCTTTCAGATTATTTCAAGTTCTCTCAAATTCTCACAAATTCCTTCAGATTCTCGCAGAATACTCTTATAATCTCCCAGATTCTATAAGATTTTCTGTAGTTCTCCAAAATATTCTCAGATTCTCCAAAATATTCTCAGATTCTCTCATATTCTTTCAGGTTCTTTCAGATTTTCTGAGATTCTCTTAGGTAACCTCAGATTTTATCAGATTCTCTGTGATGCCCTGAGATTCTCCCAAACTCCTTCAGATCCGCTCAGATCCTTTCAAGTTATACTAAATTCTCTCAGAATCTCTCAAATTGTCTCAGATTTTCTCAGATTCCCTCAGATTTTCTCAGATTGTATTAAATTTTCTCAGATAATTTTAGAGTGTTCCAAATCCTCTCAAGTTATCCGAGATTACTTGAAATGCCTTAAGATGTTTTCTCATTTTTGAAGATTCTTTCAGATGTTTTTCAAGTTTTATCAAATCCTTACAGATTCTTTTCTCCCAGCTACACTTATAATCTCTCGATTCTATGATATTCTCTGAAATTTTCCAAAATACTCTCATATTCTGCCATATTCTCTCAGATTCTTTCAAATTTTATGAAATCCTCTCAGATTCCATCAGATTCTATCAGATTTTTTCGGATTCTCTGAGATTCTCTCAAATTGCTACAAATTTCTTCAGACTCGTTCAGACTCTTTCAGGTTATATCAAACTCTCTCAGAATCTCTAACATTGTCTCAAATTATCTCAGATTCCTTCGGATTCTCTCAGATTTTTACAGAGTAACCCACATTTTCTCAGATTATTTCAAAGTTTTTAAAATCCTATAAAATTTTCTCTGATTACATCAAATTCCTTCAGATTCTTTCTAATTCCTTTAAATTCTTTAAGATTTTTTCAAGTTGTCTCAAATTCTTACAGATTCTTTCAGATTCTCTCAGCTACTATTATAATCTCTCGATTCTCTGATATTTTCTGATATTCTCCAAAATACTTTCAGATTCTGCCATATTCTCTCAGATTCCATCAGATTCTTTCCGATTCTGTGAGATTCTCTCAAATTGCTTCAGATTTCTTCAAATTTCTTCAGATTGGCTCAGATTCTTTCAACTTACACCAGACTCTCTCAAAATCTCTCACATTGTATCTCAGATTCTCTCATATTCCTTTAGATTCTGTCAGTTGTCACAGATTCACTCAAATTTTCTCAAATTATTTCAAAGTCTTTCAAATCCTATAGAATTTTTTCAGATTACTTCATATTCTTTCTAATTCTCTCAGGTTCTTTCAGATTTTCTAAGATTCTCCCAGATTTT